ACTGTGCATGACTACGACGCTCGGCATAGACGTTTGCTGAAAGGCATAGTGGCCCTCCCAATGCTGCATTGAGAGACGGGGGAGTGTCGTCTGTCTTCCCCATAGCCTCAGAACTGCGACTCCCATTTCGACAAGTGGTACCATGCTTGGTCTGGCGCGAAGTGGCTCTTCGGCATTTCTCTTCGGGTGCCGCTTTGACAGTGGGACGAGCTTTGCATGGCCTGTGCAGGAAGCAATGGTGCTGTGCGCACCAGCACCTGGGCTGCCCAGGACACCTGTACAATCGTAGGTCGGCAAAGCTAGTGAGAGATCCGGCGTGGCCTGAAGAAGCTTGAAAGAAGCCGGAAGGATCTTGGCACCATCACCACGTGGTGACTATTACCGGCGTGCACCACCTCAAGCACTATGCGACTCGGCGGAAGGCAATGTGACCGATGTTAGTTTTCTGAGTGTGTTGTCACGCTGAGGACTGCCATGCCGGCTTGTCCAATTGGTATCACGGCTGGTCTCATGTCAAGAAGTCCTGGTGCTGTGTGGCTCCGTCTCGCTTGAACCGAGATTATAGAGGGTTTGCCTTCTTTGACCATTCAGTTGCCACTTCAGCATCAGCATACGGATCCATGTAGATCTCAGTGTCGACCGGTGTGGTGGTTCAGATGATCAAGCACGACAGGACCACCATCAGCTGGGCTGCCCTGGCATGGCGCATGGCCAGTGGCACGCTCACACTGTCTACGCCCTACTCCATGGCACCACATGCCAAACCTTCCGTATGGGGCTGGCTGTTGCAGATCCGGATCCGTGTCTTGCCTTGACCGCGCGAGGTGGTGCACACCATCATGGGCCACCATGCCGGCCATGGCGGATATGACTGCGATGCAGGCTACTCCAATTGGGAGCACGGCTGGCCGCAGCCCTGACAATTCTGAGGTGCCTACTGACTTGCCTGTCTGTTCAAGTGAGGTCGTACCACAAGAAGACGTATTGCTGCGAGCACGAGCATAAGGGCTGCCAGCCGTACCACTGCCACCACCACGAGGACCCAAGCTGCCTGGGCTGCTCGAGATGCTTTGCGGAATGTCTCGGCCGGTTGTCAGGAGGAACACGACACGTGGTCGGATGACAAGCGTGGGAGCCCCAGATTTGTGGGGTCAGGCGCGTAGAGAGAGGGCAGGGTTTCCTGGTTGCTGTTTGCAGGCGACTATTGCTGCGGCCACTTCCAAATCGCCTGCGCCGCAACCACCCTGTCGCCTCTTGGCTGTGACGCCGCTTGGCCAAACCTTTAGTGCATGAAGGGAGTGGCCCGTACAC